GTTTTGTGGGGAGAGCATGTCGTGTCAAGACTCGGATCGCAACTCCTAAAAGAAATTGAGCGCACATGCAACGGAATGTGCAGGGCGTGGGGGTTCATGGCATGTCAATACCTCACTTGAGTGAATTGACCAAACAAGTCCGAACTTTGTATTTGCCACCAAGAAGGTAACCCCAAAAAAAGGTTTTCGTCCAGGAGCTCAGGAAGTAGGACAAACCAAGAGCATGCCTTTATTGGGTGATACTAAACCAAGAGCATACTTTGTTGGGTGATACGGTGATACCGTTTTTACGGCTTGCAGCGGTAAGTCGTTTATCCATATGGCACTCGTGCCTTCCATACAGTTCTTTGCAACATCAGAAGGCGGGATCGTGGGCCTCAACATGTATTTCCAAATAAACCACTCACGGAAACAATCCCATCTGTGCTGAAACCATGTTTTAAACACATGTGCGGAGAAAGCAAACAACAAGTATATATAAGTCAAAACAATTATACACCCGGTCCTGCACATGGGTAACCTTTTGGAAACATAGATGGCCCTGGTAAACGGAATCAAACACCAATCTGAACCATGCCTGGCGGCATTTGCGGTGTGATTGGAGGACACCAGCGCAGAGCCACTGCACATAAGCTTTGTCTTCAACCCGGACATCTTGAAGTTGGTGAGCTTGAAAAACACCTCAGACAGTCCAAAAGGCGTGAGGATTAATGTTGCCAATGGGTCGATTGTGGTAATTAACAGCATTTAGCCCGGCATCTACGGCTTTTGCACGAGTCACTGATCTGAGCTGAGCTGTGAGAACTTGTAAGGTGCATCCTTACAGTAATGCCCGAGCACAAATAAGAAGGTGCCAAATACAAACAAGTTTGTCCGGCCCAGAATGACGAAGGATACTTAAGTCAGAACTAAGCACAAACATATACCAAGGGCACAAACAAAAAGGTCCCCAGACAATACAAATCCCCCGGAAAAAAGTACAGGGCCGCGTACTTCTTCGTTCAGCTTTTGGCTGGCCCCTTCTGGAGAATCAGCTTAATGTGCCTTTTGCTACACAACCACCAGAACCCAAAAACGGGGAGTCTGCCTCAAACTGCCAACTCTGCCAACTCAGCCTCTGAAGAAGAAGCATCCCGATGCTAGAAGGTGCGAAACAGATACTACGACACAAAAATGATCAGGATTCAATGGTCCGCCTGAATACCATCGATCCTTTGGGATCTTCCGTGGTCATGGCCATAGCAAGTAGCATAGGTGCACATAAGGAATACAGAGCGACACCAAACCGATACTAGGCTGAAATCATCGAAGAGAATCGAAGAGAATCGAAGAGGACCGAAGAGGACCAAAGAGGACCAAACAGGACCAAAAAGGACCAAACTGGACCGAAGAGGTCCGGAGAGGACAAATACCAAATGAACCACAACATATTAATCCTAAACAATTCTAATCTTTGCTACACAACAAACCACGCCGATACAACACAACGCCAATCTCGTACTAAACAATACCAACTCAAGGACCACTGCAAGGAGACCAAGTCTGGCCCTTACATTGTTTCCGGAATTCTTACTTGGTTCCCTTCAGATTGTTCGGGTAGCGCAAGTAGCACCCTTTCTTCTCCTGGATCAACACCCCAGCAAACTAAGTGCTGTCTTTGCCAACTAGGTCCTCCAGTAGAGAGGTTAGAATAAGGGTATCAACTTTTTTTCCTGTAGTCTATGTTAGTAGGGGAACCCTCCCTCAAAAAAGGGCAAAGGGCACCTAGCTGGGGGACCTAGGCGGATGGAGTTTCTGCACCAACTGGGGGGCGTTTCGTTGGGCATGCTTGGCTTTCGCGCGGCTTCCCACCAGCGCACCGCAAGCGGGTTAGCATAAAATTTCTTCATACATGGCCATCATGGCCATGGGTAAAAATCAAAGGCCAAATCGTACCCCCAGTGAACATCCGATTCAATCCAACTACTAAAATCCCGACTAAAACGGGTGGTGCATGTGGCCATGGGTCGAAATCAAAAGCCCGTACAGTGAACATCCGATTCAATCCAACCACTAAAATCGGTTCTAGAATGGGTGAATTCACCTGCCCCAAAATGGGAGCCCATTGGTTTTGACCCACAGCCACATCATGCAAGGCCGACATTGTGGGCTCCCGCAAAAGTCCGTCCTGTGCTAAGCCAAATTGTGTTGTGCGACCCCAGCAAATCACGGTGCCCCCCTTGCAAGGGAGTTCCCTCCCAATTTGTTTGTTTGACCATGTGTAGCCGTTGTGGCTCTCATGCAAATACCAAAGTATCTAGACCTCCAACACCCAAATACTGTACGTATATCCGACCCGTTGTATGCCTTGTCAGCTTGCACGTTGGCGTTGGCAAATGCTCAGAACTCTGAAGGACATGCTTTATGCTTGCTTGAGTGACACTAGGTTCTGCCTCTTTCTGAAATCCATGGGGCTATTTGCGTCCTCTTTTGACACATATCCGCCTAAAGGCTTCGTCATTCACATTTGCCCAAATGGCAGCAGCACCTCTCGCGCTGCCAAAAAATCACTATCATTGGGCGAAAACGAAACTCTTCCGTGCGAATTGAACCTTCAAGTTTTCCCGAGACCGTTACCCTCCCTCCCACTAAATATGTCACGCAACTTACCCCAAGAGCAAACTCATCTTCCGAGCACTCTCCCAGAGAGTGCGTGTGTGGAAATCCATTTCGCACCACTTCAGAAACCTCGGTTTGACGCATCCCCCGTAAATAAACAATGTGTTCTCGTGGCTTCAAAGTGGGTGCAAAATTGATTTCGCCCATCCACAGTACTTAAAGGGGCAGGGTACCTAGTAAGTGGTTGGTAAGCCTAATTATATCCCACTTCCTATGTGGGTTATAACCAGGTTGTTGAACCGCTTTACCCTGCCACTTTAAGTACTAGGTCCTCCAGTAGAGAGGTTAGAGTAAGGGTGCCCTTTGTTCTACAGTAGTTTTTAGTAGGGGAACCTTCCCCCCAAAAAGTTGGTAAAGGGGCACTACTACTACTGGGGGACCTAGAGTATGTTGGTTCGAGGGAGGCTACGTCCAGCCCTTTGCAAGGCGCCGCTTCTGGCAGCTCAGACTCCAGGAGCACCTTGATGGGCCACTCCACCTCGGAGCTTCCACCCATCCATCCAACGCATTTCTTTGATTACCTTCCCAAATGTCCTTCCCAAATGGGCGGTAGACTACTGGAGATGTTGACTGAACCATGTGTGGATTTGGTTGCAATGATAAATATGCCATCTAGGTTTCTTCCATGTGTGTTTTTGCCCCCTGGAAAAAATGAGAAAGTATTTCCAGCAGTGATAGGTTCCCTTTGACACCAACAGGGGGAAATAGAACATATTCTCAAGCAAATGGAAGGATCGGAATAGAAATGGTCGGGACCCAGGACCACGAAAGAAGTAAAAAGGCGGCCGCGTCCATTTGCGGGGATTTAAGGAAGCAAATAGGCGGCTGCACCCATTTATGGTTAGGACTTCATCTACCCGAGTTTTGATCTTGGCTCAGACCATCAAACCCCGCACTCTGGGGGTACGGGCAACAAATCGGGAAGCCAAAAGGGATGCAACCAGCCTCTCAACATGTTCAGGAATCCAACTTGAAGCCAATGCACCAAAAACACACAAGAAATGCGGACGCATATGCGTCCATATCTTCTTGGTGGAAACATACAGTACCCGAACTTGCTATCTCTTTTGAGAGATAGATCTGGCAGCACTTAAGGCTTGGGGGATCTAACATTTTACAAATGGCATAAACAGAACCTCAAACTTGCAACGTTCCGATTGCACTCGACCCACACTTCATGTCAGACTACGTAACATGATCCGAGAAACCTCGCGCTCGCGCTCACGGCCCACATGAACTTCCACCTCCTTCTCCTTCTCCTGCTGTTTCTCCTGCTCTTTCTCCTGTCGAGCCAAACGTGTGCTTGCTCTACTAGCCCACCGACGCTCAATTGCAAGGCAGGTGTGTGAATACATATCGCACGGGAGACTGTGTGTGTGTGTGTTTGGTCCTGCGGCCCGACTCTGAATCCATGATAAGCTGTCTCTTCTTGATTGCACTTTACTGATTCGAAGACCTTTTGGACGACAAGTAACAGCAACTGCAGCCAGGCAGTCCACCGAGCCCAGGGATTCATTTCGGACTCGTTCACTTGGGGCCTTGAGAGAGTTCCTCTTCCAGGTTGCTGGGCTGTCCGTTTTCTCCGCCAAAAGTGAATCACTGAATCAACCACTCGCTAAAGAAATGGATGAATCACTTTTAGTTGAATCACTTTTAGTTGAATCACTTTTAGTTGAATCACTTTTAGTTGAATCACTTTGGGGCTGTCTATCTTTTGGTTGACTCACTCTTAGTGGCTGAAACTTTGACCTCCAACCACACGCTTTTGACAGATCTAGAAGCCTCAGGAACCGGATGCCTGGGCTTGCCACCAAGGTGAAAAGCAAAGGCCCACGAACCAAAAATATGGCCGCGGGTCAAATCACCCTCGCTCTTGACGCCCTGGTAAACCTTGACAACCCTTGATATGGCTGGTCAAAAATAGGGTAACCCCAAAATGGATCTTTGGTAAATGGACACATGGACGAGTCATCCTGCGGTCCAATTCCTGGTGGTTTAATCTTGACCCACACCCATATTGGAAATTATGGTTGAAACCATACCGGTTGAAACGGTATTTCCAGGCGAATCGAATCATTCCAGGGCTTCTGAACGGTGGTGCGATTTGGATTTCGCAACCATCCACAGTATTGCCCTGGCCTCACACGTGGGATGCCCAAGTCGCCTCAGGGGAACTTTGTTGAGGTCACTACGGATGGCCTCCCATACCTGTGGGGCGGTATCCATGCACATTCGGACGTGCGCATAGCAGAATCCTCCGAAGAATCAACTCATTTGAACAGCTACAATGCTGTGATATCCTTGTGTCCTGCACTTGTATGGGATGTTTGTCATTCAAAATGCTCTGCTTTCCCTAAGGATAATTGAATGAACCCTTTTGATTGATCTTTTCTATTCAAGCTGCACGCAAAACTGGGAACGCTCAGGGATAGAGCAATAGTCACTAAAGCTACAAAGCTGCATGCAATTGACAATCCCCATACTGCTGCTGCTGCACACTGCTATTATCTTGAGAGAATCAGGGTCTAAACGTGGCTTTGGAGTTCATTCGGGAAAGCCACTGGAAAGCGATGCGCAAAATGGCCTGCGAACATAGGTGTCCTTTTAGGAAAATAGATGGATTTCCCTGATAGACTATGAAGCAACCAAGTCAACCAGGGACCATGCACTTGAATATGTCTTTTGTCCAAGGGACCCCCGAAAATCTGTTGGTTTCCCTTATAAAGGGGGTTACACAATGCCGAGACACCCCCCATTTTCCACCGCGCAACGACCAAACAGAACGGACCTGGACTAGTTCCTGCGGTAGAGAGGCTAGAATAAGGGCACCCGATGTTTTTTGTCTTTTTGTTTTTGCTTCTTTCCGTAGTTTATTTTAGTAGGGTTCGGAACCCTCCAGAAAAGGGGTGAGAAATCTTGCAGCTGGACCTAGTGGACATCTCTGTGGGTCAAAAATATGTCCCCAAAATGGGAGCCAGGTAAATGGAACCAAAGACCGGTCCACCTGGCGGTCCCATTCCCGGTGACTTCGGGGCTTCCGTCCTGCTGCCGTGTGATCTCCGCCCCGAGCTCGCCGCCCTCGGATCCACCGCCGCTTTGGGCTCTGTCCACCAGCTCGTCGCAGTGGGCCTTGCCCTCGTCGTCCATGACCGCCACCTGGAAAAGGCGGCGGAAGGAAGGCTCACGAGGTACACCTTTTTGGCTTCAGGAAACAGCCAGTTTTTGAGAAGAACGATGGTTGGAAAGGATGGAACAAAAAATCAACACCTGCCATGTAGGTGTCCTTTTGGGGGCAAATAGATGGATGAAACCACCAAAAACAAAACCAGGGAAGCCCATCTATTGTTCGAGCAAAACAACCGAACAGGACACCTATGCTCATGACTTATTGCCTCAACAGCACGGCCTTGATTGCTGCGTCCTTGGATACGAACCAGGCCAAAAGGGCCGCTGATACCGGTTGTAGCCAGTTCTTCAAGGTTCGCCTGCAGGCAAGGCCTCGTTCTGAAGGAAATAGGGGGGTGGGGGCCCCTCCAAAAGTGATGATCCCCGGGACACCCCCCTATTAATAAACTAGGCTTGGGGTCAACATTATCCCTCAACTCAACGCGCACCACTCTGATCTAAGCGTATCCAAAGGCCCCCGCGCGAGAGGAAACCTGGAGGTATGCGAGAAGCTCAGAGTTCCAACATAGTAGTCAAATGTGAAGACCCTCATGGCTTGAAACGAAGAAATCGGCAGGCAGGGCATTTCACTCCATCTGGCAAATTCAACGCCAGCGATCCGATCTTACTCATGGGTCATCCGTACTTTGCCATGACATCAAACCAACGCGTGGTCTGCAACCCCAGTCACAAAGACCTCCATGAAAAGAACCACACAAATCAACACACCAAGACCACCAAAGCAGGACAACAGTGACGCAATGAACCATGTCACAAATTAGTTTGCAGATCAAATAGTCAAACACTTGCAGAAGATAAGCCGGAGCACTAAAGCGCCCAGCTGAAGCTGCTAGTAAATGCCCGGGCAGCAAGGCTCCACCCTGCCTAGTTCAGTTTGCCAGGAAGGTAGCCCCACGGTTCGGGGCAGGATATGACCCGTTCAAAGTTGTTTGCTCTGTTGCTGGCCCATGGGCGAAGGTCTTGTGGTGGCTACCTCTGAGGAAAGGGCTCGTCTCCAAGTCTGTGCGACATGGGGGCACCGATTGAGGTCAAGCAACCTCTTGCAGAACACATTGTAATAGAAGCAGTTGTGAACTGTGGGCACCAAGCCTAAAGCTTTCCCGCAGATGCCCGCACTCTGCCAGTGCACTCTTACATCTCTACCTATGCAAAGTCTCCCCTGTTGCACTTTGACAAAGAGGCAAATGAGTCAAAATCAAGACCTGGAAATTGACAAAGCTCTAGTTACCCAACTCCCCGAAAACGAACAAATCGACCTGGCGTTGCATTCTCACCTGGGCTGCCCTCAGATCCCCCGCTAAAAGTCTAACATTTAGTGGAGTACATGGAAACTACTACTAAACACTGAAAGGCTAAAGAGCTACGGAACCGGATGGCTGGCTTCGCCACCAAGTCACGGTTTCGCCGGCTGAAACTTGAGATGGGTCACAATTAAGCAACCAGGAATTGGGACCGCAGGTAGTCCATGTTTCCATGTACCAGGGCAAGCCATTTTAAGAACCGATTCTCGACCCGCAGCCATTTAACTCACTTGCTGAGTGGATGGCCCAAAAGAAGTCCAAACTTTTTGTTTACCACTAAAATGGTCCAAACCCAAAAAGTGACTCAAGTCCATGAACTCAGGGAGTGAGTGAAAAATATCCCCCTTCGCCCCCCTTCGCCCCCCTTCGCCCCGTTCCGGCACCTGCTCCTCCGCCATCTTCGCCATCTTCTCGTGCAGCTTCAAAGGCTCCTGCACCTTGGTCTCCACCGGAAAGCGCAAGGACTCCAGGAAAGACTCCACCTGACAAAGGCGGAGGCGGGGGCGAAGGCGGATGGACTTGGAGTCGAAAAATCCGAGAAAAAAAAACGCGGCACCGGACGAAGAAACCCGGGCATGTGTGGATTTTTCCCCTGTAAATATCGAACTGTGGTTTCGAATGGCTTCAAAGTGGTGCGAAATGGAGTTCGTTCATCGACGGTAGCACCTCTCAATTCGAAGAAACCCGGGTGTCTGATTCGATTCCACTGCAAATACCAACAAGCAATGATTTCAACCATGGATTGACAGTGGCGTTCGCCCATCCACAGTACGTCAAACAATGAAACTAATGACCCGCTCTGCTTGGTAGAAAAGGTTGACACGTGTACGGCCCAGCTAAAAAACAATACCACCCTTCCATTTGCCTGGAAAAAATATAAAACATACTGTGGGTGGACGAAATTCTGCACTACTTTGAAACCATAACAAACCATTGTTCGTTGGTATTTACAGGGGAAGCATCACCCCAGGGTTTCTTAGGTGGTGCAGGATTTCGTCCATCCACAGTATGTCCAGTAGTGAGCGATTCCTTTGCAAACCAACAGGGGAAAATAACAACATATTCATTTCAGCAAATGAACGCTTCTCAAACAAAAGTTGCAAACAAATGTCTAAAGCAAAAGTTGCAACATTGTCTAAAACAAATGTCTAAAACAGGGGGAACAAACTTAAACAAATGGAAGCACCGTACGGGCTGGCACCAAGCTCATGCCACCGGAAGACGCCATCCCTGCGCATAAACCTTGTCTAGGTCCAAATGTGTACCTGGTTCTCTGCCCAGTTTTGCCAGAAAACACCGTAAAACACAGTGTTTTGTAGCATGTTCATCTTAAAATAACATCCCCACGAACACCCGGTCTCAATTTTGTTTGTAGCCTATTTTAGTAGGGTTCGGAACCCTCCCGACCAAGAAAGGGGTGATAAAGGGCACTACTGGGGGACCCAGTTGTGTTGCCACACAACCTGAGTTTCTTCGAAAGATGAATGCAGCCCTCGGCTTGCGGACATGCGCGTTCAGAGACCTACCACTCTGCTAGCTTCTTTGAACACTAAGGGTAGCTTCTCCCTCCCAGTCTCTTCAGCTGACGCATTTTGAAAGCCAACAGCTCAGATGCCCAGTGGCCATGAGAAAAAAAGGGCACCTTTTTTGTTGTTGCTGGTTGAATTAAAAGGGGAACCCTTGCCCCGAAAAAGGAAAAAGGGAAGTAACCCACAGGGCAACAGAGACAGGGTGCTGCTCCAAGGCTTGTGCCCCAAACAAATCTCTGCGCACGCACGACAGGGATCCTTACATTATACACCTGAACATTGCCTTGTAAATGGTGGTTTCCCTTCATTTTGGTGTTGAAAAAGCAACATGTTTCAACTGGTTGCAAAAAATGGAGGTCTTTTCACGAGCCCTGCACGAGCTGTGCAGAAGGGCTGCGCGTTTCGATGGACCCCTCCAACAGCCCCGCGCATCAGCCGTCCGTTCCCAAATCCCGCGTCATCCCGTAAAAACAATACGCACCCCTTGAACAACAAGCCCAGGTGGGTCACAATCAAAACCCGGTGCAAAAATGGTCGACCCAGAACCATGCTTCAAGAATTAAGAAGGCGGATATCCGCAACTACTTTTTGGCTGGACTGCCCCTTACTAACCTTCCCGGGTTTTGAGCAAGTGGCTCGGGTGGTCTCCCCAATAGCCCCGGAAGAATCTGGAACCCTCCTAGCAGGCCCAAACCCTCAGAGACCAAATCCACAGCTTTCAGCTGTTGAACAACACCTCCCTCCAGTGGATTTCACCCATTCTCCCCCTCTCTACGTCCTTTTTTAGTACTCTGGTAGTACTCATTTTTCGCATCCTCCAGGGGTGAAAATCCACAGATTCGGATTCCAAACCTCCAACATCCGTTTTCCAGAACCACCACCTGGGCAGAGACCAAATCCAGAGCTGTACTTTACCTTTCGTACTCTCTTAGCCTACAGGGGTGAAAATCCAAAGATTCGGAATCCAACCATCCAAACCAGTACTCCTTTACCTTTAGTACTCTTTTAGTATCCTGCAGGGGTATTCCAAACCCTCAAACCGGTACTCCTAGGGCTGAAAATCCACAAACGCCACCTCCAACCTCCTTTTTCCAACGACCACCCAGACTTTTCTCGCAGGCCAGCGGCCTCCGCGCGCATCTGCTCCCGTTGCTGGGGCTCCTCTGCAGCCATCAGCTTCTGCAGGCAGGTTCGCCGCCAGACCGTGGCCAGGTTCTGCAGCTGCAGTGCCGCGAACTGCTTGCCTCGTGAAGCAACAAAGAAAAACCAGCCAAGCGGCCAAACCTTGCTGATCTCCTTCCCCAACAAGGGCTTTTTTCAGTGGGGTAGGGGCTGTAGTGGCAGGTGAGTGTTGTATGTTGTCGGTAAAGGAGTTAGTAGTTATTTAGTGTTTAAAGCACGCGGATCCGAGTGCCTACCCGAGCCGATAGCTTCAGGAAGCTTCGCACGGAGATGAGCAAGAGCTGGAGAAGTTTGGTGGTGGCTGGAGTGATACTGTGGGTGGACGAAATCCACTTCGCACCACTTGGAAACCATAGCAAACCATTGTTTGTTGGTATTTACAGGGGAAGCATTAACCCAGGATGTTTAGGTGGTGCAGGATTTCGTCCATCCACAGCAGGAGTGCTAGTGCAAGTGCAAGTGGTAGTGGTAATTAGTGGCAGTAGTGGCAGTAGTGGCAGTAGTAGTAGCAGCAGCAGTAGTAGTAGCAGCAGTAGCCTTGGGTGCTGTAGATCCCCTAGCAAAAAGTTTAACTTTTTGCTGGTGAAAAGGAAATATGAGGGGAATCCAAAAAGTTAAAGTCTAAAGATCCAACCCAATAGCAGTAGAGTAGCAGTAGTAGTACTGTCAGTCCACCTCTTGGCAAGTGACAAATGCAACATACCGGCATATGATAGCAACGCCTGTATCTCTTGCACCGTGCAGCCTGAAACTCCAGCACGGGCATTTGTGAACTTAGCACATCATTGATTTGCCGAGTACTCGTATTCATCAAGTACTATTCATGAGTTATGTTGCAGTAGTAGCTTGAGCATTGCTGCGTCTAGTTCGATGTTGTTTCAATATTTGGTTCAAATGTCCGTTCCTAGTCTCGTCAGAGTTGACTAGTGCTTCAGCTGGAGTACTTAGTATCACGTTTGCTTCAGTCTAGTTGTAGCATCAATTCAATATTAGTTTACAGTTGGTTCAGCATTGCTGCTTCTAATGTAGAATTGCTTCAGCAAACCTATTTTGGCACGCCGAGCCATAGAGCCAGCAAGGTCAAACAACTCAAGCAACTCTGCAAATGTATATCATGGTCTTGCTGAGGGCAAACACACAGCAAACTCTAACAAAGTCTGGACCCATGAACGGTGAAAAGTATTAAAAAGAGCAATCAACAACACCTGTGGCCGTGTTTACTTGTGGCAGTTTTATTGTCCACTACCAGGAAAGTACCCGAATACAAGCAATTATCCTCGAGGGCCCCGTAAAACGGCAAGTGTTGCGGCCCCTGCAGTACTTTGGAGCACATTTGGAAACAGCTTAAGTGGAGCCTTACAAATCGAAATACAAACTTGTGTGAGGTGCACTTATGTTGCAGAGAGATACTGAGACCCTGTTGCCGATACATGTTTCTGGGTGAATTATAATATTTCACCAACCTGAAATAAGGTGGTCGGGGGGCTGTTTCCCACATAAACCACCAATTTGGGGTGAGGTCGTGTGAGGTCGTTACAATTCACCCAGATGTTTCACAAACAAAATAAAGCAACTAACGCCGCAAGAAACACACGCCTAATTCTTCTTCAGAGGGTTGTGGGATGCTTCTGTGGGAGACAATAGCTTTCAGTGGACTGAGCTGGCAGAAGGTGGGTTTTGGAGGGGTAAGCTTAGGGGCAGGGGTCCATATTATCTATATTAATCTTGACATGGGTCAAACATATAATAATAATAATAATAATAAAAAAAAAAGAACGGAAGCCTGGTAAATGGAAACAAGCACTGACCTGCGGTCCCCTGGTGTCTTATTTTTGACCCATACCCACATGAGCCACAATCAAAACCCGGGTAGATGAAGGTTAGCAAGGGGCAGTCCCAGCCGGAAATAATTGCGGATATCCGCCTTTCTAATTCTTGAAGCATGGTTCTGGGTTCACCATTGTTGTACCGATCGGTTTTGAGCAAGTGCCTCAACTGGGTAGTAACCTCATTTAGGCAGATTTTCGGATAACACCATGTTATTTTGAACCATTTTGGACCTCATTTAGGCAGATTTTCGGATAATGCCATGTTATTTTGAACCATTTAGGGTCATTTCCCAAGGGTGTACTCCCAGGGTGTTTCTTCAAAAGTTGCCGCTCGCTGGCTCTCTCAAGCAACAACTCGGATCCTGGAGGCTCGCCATTCGGCGATTTGCTCAGACTCCATATGGCTGCGGGTCAACAAAAGGTACCCAAAATGGATCCTGCGGTTTGCTGGTGGTTTAATTTGGACCCACACCCAAAAAACACCGGCAGGTGATCACAATGTTCATTGGGCCCTTGCTTAAATAGGGGATGCCCCCAGGCTACTTCCCAGCGATTGATGTTGACCATGGGTTCGCATCCACCGCACATAATCGTGTGATTGGGGCTTGTCAAATTTGCAGGGGTAAGTAACATAGCGTACTTGCAAAAAGTGCAAGCAAGGCGCCTTCTGAGTCAAACTGGTTGGAAAGCCTGGGCGAGAAACACCGGCAGTGCAATGGCTTAAAGGCATGGTTGGTGAATGGAGCACAACAAAAAACAAGGAAGACACCATCCAACTCGTTGCTTTAAGCGGCTTTGTGTTGCTTTGGTTCTACATTTTAGGACACATACATGCATTTAAACAGTATGTTCAAGCATGAGAAAGCCATGCCTCCATTTGCTTAAGTCCCCAGGAACAAATAAACACATTTCCAGTAGTGATAGATCCCCTTTAAAACCAACAGGGAAACATATAACATATTCTTAAGCACGCAGGCGCACGCTGCATTTTTCCTTCGGGATCCTTCGTGGCTCTCTCTCGAACTGCAACATCTCAAAGTCGCTGATCGGAACGGATTTTCTATCCAGGGCTCCAAACAACCCCGAAGGAACGCACAATCCGGAAAGAATCCCATGGACAGCATGATGGAAGTCGTCCCGGTGGGCCGACAACCAGATCTCCCTGAGTTAACAAATGAAGGTAGAAAAAGAGATACCTGTTTACATTGCGCAGGCATAGCAAGGAATACAAATGTCTGGTCGCACTTCATCAAGCAAGCTACGGTCATTCATTCACAAAATTCCACACAGTTCATGGAAGCTAACCTGTCCAGATGCATACGCATCTCTCCTGTGAGGGTAGACTTTTCCTACTGCGACTGCTGATTGTTGGCAAGAGCCTTCTTGGGAAGAACAGTCTGGCTTCCTGGTACCCACACCAACTATCCATGTTTTCCTCTCAAGCCTTCCAGTTTCCGAAGGAACATGCAATTGTTGCTTAACGTGGTATCAACATCACACCTGGTCAGAGGGTCGGTTCAAGCCTACTGCCAGCAACGTGGCTGAATCGGTAAATCGCAACTGCAAATTGTGTGCATCCCTTTCTGGCCATACCACCGCAAAGCGAAAGGCATGGAATTGGCAAGGAGTACCCTCCCTCCCTTGAAGCTTGCCAAGCAAGGCACCAACTCCTTTGTTGACTGCTTGCTACTTTGTCAAGGTCCCAAGCTCTCCCGTTCTTGGTTGCTGTTGACAAGTCTGCAAACACTTTTCACTTCTTGTGGGTCCAATACGGGAAACCCGAGCTGTTCCAACCAAAAAGCCAAAGTCCAAAGATCAGTTGCTTGCAGGGGCGATCGGGTACTTAGTAAGTGGTTTGTAAGCCTGCTGAAGTAACCCTCTGAACGGAAACTTATAACCATGGCTGTGTGGTTTTTTTCACCAGGCTTACAACTCACTTACCTGACGAATCGATCGCCCTGCGTCAAAAAGTAATACGGTATACCCCTATGCCTCCTGACCCCTTCCCCCCTATGACCCCTTGTTTACTTGGGTAGACAAAAAGAAGAGGACCCCTACCCCTCGGTTGAACAACAGAACAGGACCCTTTAAACAAAAGAAGAGGACCCTTTACAGGGAAAAGCCCCCAAGCCAACTCTCTACCCCTTCCCCCCTACCCCTGTTAAACAACAGAAGAGGACCCTTTATCGACTAGGTCCAAACCAGTAGAGAGGTTACAATAAGGGTACCAACTTTTTTCTGTGGTCTATTTTAGTAGGGTTCGGAACCCTCCCAACCAAAAAAAAGGTGTACCCCAAAAACAGGGTGAGAAAGGGCACCTAGCTGGGGGACCCTTGCGCCAAAACGAGCCAGGGGGCATAAAGGCCACCGCGTCGTGCAGCCCCAAGCTGCCCTCGGCTCCCACGGCGCCCGCGACTTTCTTCGCCAGCTCCGGGGTGATCATCATCCCTCGGTTTGTGGAGTCGGTCGGGGGGTGGGGGTCCCGGTGTCCCCATGCACAAAGGGAATCCCCGGCCCCGAAGTCCATTTGTAGGGAGTGGAATTCATGAAGGGAAGATGGACCCGTCCGCGAAGTCGTTGAAGACATCCCCCTGAATGGGGGGGAAAAGATCTTAGGGGGGAATGAGGGAAAAGATCTTCGGGAGGAAGGGGGGAACAGATCTTGGGGGGGAAAGGGTCCCGGTCCCCTAATTCAGAAAGGGAAGATGGGGGGGGTGGGTCCCCCAATTCAGAAAGGGAAAATGGACACATAAATGGAATTCCCGTCCCCATGCAGACCCCAGAGTCCATTTAAAAGGGACTTTGAAGACACTGGAAGCTCGCCTTGGGGGAAACTTGCAGCACGCGCACTTTTTCCGTTTTGAACCAGTTGGTCGAACGAGAGAAGGCCCCCTGAACAACATTTGACGAGTGACCCAAACGACCTACAGAGCCCTTAAAAAAAGAGAGGACAGTCACGGTGGCTACCAGGGCCTTGTTCAGATGTTGGACTGCCTTGGCCGCACAGAGACGGATCTTAGCTGACCAATTTGCCAGCGATCGATTCGGTACGTCAGGCAAGTGGTTAGTAAGCCTGGTTATAACCCGCAAAAAAAACATGGTTGTAAGTCTCCCAAGTGGGTTGTTTCACCTAAGCACCTTAGTTGGGGGAAACAACGAAACACGCACAGAACCAATGCAGCCGCAGCACCAAATTGGACGCACAACAAATACGAAAGATGATACTGTACAGCTACAACTGACTATCAACCAGAAACCATGGTATACCTGTATACAAGCCATACCTGTACCATCGCATATCGATAAAATATGTAAGCGGAACTTCTGAACATTGCGCAGAGCTGTGAAGAATTTGCTGTGGCTTACCGTGACCCAATTCGCTTCCCCCTCTGCAAGGGGCCTGCGGGGGAGGGAGGGGAGAAGGGGGAAGACCAAATTAGCTCTTTTTAAGCCCTCAAGGCCTTATTTCGGCTCCCTCTCCCCTCCCCTCCCTCAGGCCCCGTGACTGCTGGTGAACCATCTTCTGACTTCCCAAGTGGACGGGCCAAACCAAGTCCAAACTTTATATTTGCCACCAAAAGACTCCAAATGCCAAAAAAAACTCTGAAACGGAACTCGGGAAGTACCCTCCCACCAAACTAAAATGGAACCTGAAAGGGGTCCTGGAAGACCATTTTCCTTTCACAGGGACCCCTGTCAGGTTCCATGTTAATTGGTGAGAGGGTAAGTCTTACTGGGTCCTCCAGTTGAGAGGTTAGAATAAGGGCCTAATAAGGGTACTCTTTTTTCTGTAGTCTATTTCAGAAGGGGAACCCTCCCAACCAAAAAAAGGGGTGAGAAAGGGCACCAATCGCTGGGGGGCCTAGTTGTCCTCTTACCAACCGCGAACTCAACAAAGATCACCTACATCCCCTTGAAAGAGGGCCACACTTGTTTGAACGGTCCATCGCTTCTTTGAACCAATTCCACTTGGCCATCGCTAAATCCCTCGCCACGGCTCGAAGCTTCTGGCCCTTGCCCAAGCCGCGCATGCGCCAAGCGCCCTGCCTCGGCAAAAGCCGCGCATTTCTTCAACACATTCATCTAGGGCTAGCTTCAGTGTGGCTTCCTCAGTGAGTTGCTGTGTGATCATTCTAGGGCTAGCTTCATGTTTATTTCCTAATACTCTTGATCTGTGGTGGGGTAGCGTCAAGGGGTAGCTTCATCAATGGATCAAGGGAATCCCCAAACGTTTTACTCATGTTTATTCCCCATACTCATCTAGGGCTAGCTTCAGTGTGGCTTCCTCAGTGAGTTTGTCAGTTCCTTAGTGGATTGAGATTTGTCTTCAGTGTGGCTTCCTTCCTTCTAGAAAATAACCAAAAACCCTGGGGGACAGGCGATCGGTTTTGTTGAAAAGAACGATGGCTGAAAAGAATTCTGCCATTCCATTTGATTCCACTCCATGCCAGTTCATTCAATAAGTCGATCATTCAACCGTTCAAACATTGAATCATTCAACCATTCAACAAACAAATGAATGAACTCATTCACGAACTCACTCACTCACTATATCATGTTCGTCCATTCCATTTGATTCCATTCCATGCTGTTCCATCATTCAAGAAGCCCATCATTCAACCATTCAAACATTCAACAACAAAGCGTATGATTTATATCCTTCATTAAAACACCCACTCACTCACTCACTCACTCACTCGCTCGCTCACTTACTCATTCACTCATTCAGTCAGTCACTCGTTCAGTGAGTCACACGTTCAGTCATTAGTTCATTAAATAAATGGTTCAGTAATGGTTCAGGTTCCTAAAGCAACCTCCAGCTTCAAAAAAACAAACTGTTCAACCAATTTTGAGGGGGGTGAAAGGGAAGTGCCCGGCTCAACTTCTTAGCGGGGAGGGTTCCCAGAAAGGGAAGTCCCCATGTGGGGAACACAAAACGCCTGCACTACACATGTGCGTCCTTATCTACAAGTGTCCTTAAAGAACCTCTTTGTGTCTGTGCGTGCGTGGGTGTGTCTGTGTGTGTGTGTGTGGGTGTGTCTGTGTGTGGGTGTGTCTGTGTGTGGGTGTGTCTGTGTGTGTGTGTGGGTGTCAGTTTCTCTGTGTCTCTGCGTCTCTGTGTGTCTGTGTGTGTGTGTGGGTGTGTCTGTCTGTGTGTGTGCCTGTGTGTGTGTGCGCCTCTGTGTGTCTCTGTGTGTGTGCCTGTGTGTGTCTGTGTGTGTGTCTGTGTGTGTGTGCGTGTCCGTGTGTGTGTGTGTGTGTGTGTGTCTGTGTGTGTGCCTGTGTGTCTGTGTGTTTGTGTGTGCTGTGCGTCTCTCTGTGTGTCTCTGTATGTCTGTGTGTGTGTCTGTGTGTGTGTGTGGCTCCGTGTGTGTGGGTGTGTCTGTGTGTGGGTGTGTGGGTGTGTCTGTGTTCTTGTGTGTCGCTATGGTTTTTCTGTGTGTCGCTGTGTGTCTGTGTATGTCTGTGTGTGTCTGTGGCTCTGTGTGTGGGTGTGTCTGGGTCTGTGCCTCCAGTGTGTCCGTGTCTGTGCGCGCGTGTTAGGCATGTGTTGAGGCTACTAAGAGCCCACAAAGCAGCGCGAGATGATTACAAAGCCTAGTAAACCAAAAAAAAGAAGCTCAGAAATCCACCTGGCTCCAGTGGGCTGCAACCCACCCCTTGAAAGACAAAATCGACGCCAAGACATTCTGCCCCGCTGGGCCTGAACCAGCCGATTTCTTATACAGCGCTCGGGCTGTACACACACACAACATATGCCCAGTTGCCCAAAGGACCTGGAAATAAAAGGTTAACCTTTTGGGACCATGACTAAAAATGGACCAAAACGAGAAAACCAAAAGGTTAAAAGGTCGGCTTTGGGCAACTGAGTATGAAGTTACAACCACGCATGAAACGAAGGATACGAATCCTGGACATGATTCCATCCAGGCGTGCTTGTACGTACCCCATTTACATATCCCTTGGGCAAATGAACCCAAAAGGCCTGCTGATGTTCATACCCCTCACCCCAAAAGGGGTATATATTCCTTATAAAGCGGGTTGTAAACCAGGGAAGCCAAGGGGTATGAACAAGGGGTAAGGGGCCACCAGGCTAAATTCACCTTACGCCCACCTATGTCCGAGAAAGGCAGCGCAGGGCCCTTACATCTCTCGGCTCCCAAATGGGAGCCTTGTACGGATGTGGGGTTGATGAATATTCCTGGCGTTTGAGCGGGCTAAACCCTGGCTTCAACATGGAGGTTCCGTTCGGCCCCCAAATGACCATGGATAACTCTTCCCATTTGGTGGTAGACACTTCACCTTTTGTAGTGGTTTTCTCCAATGGTCACCCCAAGGGCCTTTTGATCAACCTGCAATGGGCAACGACGGGGTGAAAATGACAAGCCTCTTGACGCGGCTGGAATGTCCCTGCATGTCACTGCCGAGTTGCGCATAGTCACGGAAGGTCATTGAAGCAGAAAGCGTGAGAGCTGCGAAGCATTGCAGCGGCTGCTTGGTGTCAGTTCCAGTGGTATGCACCTGCCAAACTTCACAACCGCTGCTCACTGCTCTCACGTCCTGAACTTCCTGAGTGGACTGGCCAGCAAAAGTCCAAACATTATTCTAGGGGTACCTTCCCCATTCTTTCCAGGAATCCTTCTTTCTAGAAAACCTCCAGAAACCCAGGGAAAATGGTTGGTTTTCGGAAAGAACGACGGTTGAAAAGAATGGGGAAACAACCCCTGGAAGTATGTTCTGTCGAACGAGATTGAAGTCCAGGAGCTCCGGAAATGAGTCTTCCGTGGGAAGTCCAAACTGCTCGCTCCAGCTCGCCAAAACATCCTCTCCCCTATGCGTCAAGGAAGGGCTTCGAATTGTGGCTGATCCTTGAATCCAATAATAGTCAGCTTGCCCAATGTTTGGTGCTTTGGAGCCCGGTGAGTTGGTGGTGAAATGGGAGGGAGTCCCATTTACCCTCTATACGAGAACCAGGGGTTCAAATCAAATTACCTAACCTAACCACCAATCCAAACCACCAACCAAGGGCTGCCTGAAATAGCATGTTGGTACATCATGCTGCAAGCACCTTCACCCTTCTGTCAAAACGCAGACGCACTCCGAAGACCAACCCTCTTCTTGCCCTTTGAGCAACAAGGTGCCACATCCTCCACAAAGCTAAACAGCTTCTCCGCAACACAACCGACTCACGCTCACGTGCAACACACAAGTACTTTGCAACCAATGCAAACACACACATACAGCCCGCAACCATCCCGAACAACTACATCACCTCTGCAATCCTCTGTGGTTCACACAGCACCGATCCTGCAATCAGACATGCAGTCACACAGGGCCTTGCTCGGACACCAACTGCGAATGTGAGAAACGGTTGACGTCTCGAGTCTCATCCTCTAAGCAGGACAAAGTCCGTCCAAAAAAATCGCAATTCATGCTGCAAGCAGCTGCACGCTATTATCAATGTCCAACGCACACACACTCGAAGACTCGACCACTAGACAGCCTTGTACTGACTTTCTTCCCGCCCTTCACAAAGCAGGCAAAATATCCACCAAGCTAAAACCGCTCCGTGACAGAACTATCTGAAGCGTACGTGCATCTCGCTCACTTTGCAACCAATGCAGAACCACACCCACCTGCAGCCTGCAAGCCACCCACACCTCACCCAATGAGACAAAAATTAAGGGGGTCGTGCGTTGGACGGACAGGCCTAAGCTTCGCAAAGCCCAGTGGCAAACTTCGCAGAACTGCTTTGTAGGAAGGTCTGTAGAACCCCGCTTTCCTAAACATAGTTCGCAGAACGGACCGTCCAGTGGCCCACCGCCCTAAAACATTGTCTGACCCAAGCAGCCGAACCCTCCAACCACATCACCACCCACTGCAACCCAGTGTAAGGTCAACACGAACCATACGGCACCCATCCTGCTAGTCAGACATCTAAGGAGGTCCGTCATGCAGGCACACAGGGGCCTTGCTCGGACACCAACTGCGAATGCGAGAAACGGTTGACGTCTCGAGTCTCATCCTCTAAGCAGGCCCACGTCCGTCCACAAACTTTGATGCTGCAAGCAGCTTCACGCTTTTATCAACTTCCATCGCACACCCACCCCAAAGACGCGACCACTAGACAGCCTTGTACCAACTTTCTTCCCACCCTTCCCAAAGCGGGAAAAATATCCTTGACCAAGCCAAAACTGCTCCATGGCAGAACCAGCTGAAGCGTACGTGCAGCTTGCTCACTTCGCAACCAATGCAGAACCACACCGCCTGCAAACAACCCAACCTCACCCACAGCAGCCGAACCCTCCAACTACATCAGCACCCACTGCAACCCAGTGTAAGGTCAACACGAACCACACGGCACCCATCCTGCTAGTCAGACATCTAAGGAGGTCCGTCATGCAGGCACACAGGGGCCTTGCTCGGACACCAACTGCGAATGTGAGAAACGGTTGACGTCTCGAGTCTCATCCTCTAAGCAGGCCCACGTCCGTCCACAAACTTTGCAATTCATGCTGCAAGCAGCTTCACGCTTTTCTCAACTTCCATCGCACACCCACCCCAAAGACGCGACCACTAGACAGCCTTGTACCAACTTTCTTCCCGCCCTTCCCAAGGCGGGAAAAATATCCTTGACCAAGCCAAAACCACTCCATGGCAGCACCAGCTGCAGCGTACGTGCATCTTGCTCACTTCGCAACCAATGCAGAACCACACCGCCTGCAAACAACCCACACCTCACCCACAGCAGCCGAACCCTCCAACTACATCACCACCCACTGCAACCCAGTGTAAGGTCAACACGAACCATACGGCACCGGTCCTGCTAATCAGACATCTAAGGAGGTCCGTCATGCAGGCACACAGGGGCCTTGCTCGGACACCAACTGCGAATGTGAGAAACGGTTGACGTCTCGAGTCTCATCCTCTAAGCAGGACAAAGTCCGGCCAATCTAAGCAGGCGAATCTCCGTCAAAAAAATCACAAGTCATGCTGCCAGAAGCGTCACGCTATTATCAACTTCCGTCGCACACCCGCCCCAAAGACGCGACCACTAGACAGCCTTGTACCAAGTTTCTTCCCGCCCTTGACAAAGCGGACAAAATATCCTGGACCAAGCCAAAAACGGTCCATGACAGAACCCAACCAACACCTCACCCACAGCAGCCGAACCATCAAACAACATCACAGCCCACTGCAACCCCGTGTAAGGTCAACACGAACCACACGGCACCGGTCCTGCTATTCAGACATCTAAGGAGGTCCGTCATGCAGGCACACAGGGGCCTTGCTCGGACACCAACTGCGAATGTGAGAAACGGTTGACGTCTCGAGTCTCATCCTCTAAGCAGGTCCACGTCCGTCCAAGAATTTGCAGGTCATGCTGCAAGCCGCTTAAGCCGCTTCCCAACTTGCAACGCACACTCATTCCAAGAGGCGACCTCTAGACGACCTTAACCAACCCTCTTCCTGCCATGCCCCCAGCAAGGTGCAACATTTTCCACAAAGCTAAAACTAATCCACAACACAACCGACGCAAGCTCACGTGCAACTCATAATCACTTTGCAGCCAACCTGCAGCCTCCATTTGATACATTATTTTGTGCTCGAAATATTTCTGCTCGTGACAACTTGTTCTCAAATAAATGTACGATTTAACAAAACTCGCTCGAGTTGTCAGCAATCATGCGCCCGTCGGAACCCATTCCCTGTACCATGTTTGGGATTCTCGCTCGTTTGCACTTTTTTGCCTTTTGTTGCGCCGATTTGCGCTCTTTTAGCACTTTTTTGCGCTCGTTTCGTTGAGTACTCTTCCCAAACTCGCCCCTGTGAAAGAATATGAAACTACCGAACTTGATTTCTGCTCGAATCCGAAAACATGCTCGAAAGCAATTGTGGAGGCAAAAACGCTACAACGTGTCAATTTGTGTATCGAATCGGGGGAAGGCATACTTTTTTGCTGCGATGGAGGCTCCGGGAATGCAAAACCAAACCTGCAGCCCGCAACCAACCCGTACTACCCAACTCCTGATCCTGCCAATCAGACATCTAAGGAGGTCCGTCATGCAGGCACGCAGGGCCTTGCTCGGACACCAACTGCGAATGTGAGAAACGGTTGACGTCTCGAGTCTCATCCTCTAAGCAGGACAAAGTCCGTCAGGGAGTTTCGCAAGTCATGCTGCACTTCCCGATTATCAAATTGCAACGCACACCCACCCAGAAGACGCCACCGTTAGACAGCCTTAACCACACGTCTTCCTGCCCTCAAAGGCAAAGAGCAGCATCCTCCACCAAGCTAAAACTTCTCCTCAACACAACCGACTTACGCTTCCGTGCAACTCGCAATGACTTTGCAACCGACGCAGAACCACACCTGCAGCCCGCAACCAACAAGAACCACTCAACTAATTACATCACAAACCTTTGCAATCCTTGTGGTTCAGACAGCACCGATCCTGCCAATCAGACATCTAAGGACGTCCGTCATGAAGGCACTCGAGGGCCTTGCTCGGACACCAACTGCGAATGTGAGAAACGGTTGACGTCTCGAGTCTCATCCTCTAAGCAGGCCCACGTCCGTCCAAGAATTTGCAGGTCATGCTGCAAGCCGCTTAAGCCGCTTCCCAACTTGCAACGCACACTCATTCCAAGAGGCGACCTCTAGACGACCTTAACCAACCCTCTTCCTGCCATGCCCGCAGCAAGGTGCAACATTTTCCACAAAGCTAAAACTAATCCACAACACAACCGACGCAAGCTCACGTGCAACTCATAATCACTTTGCAACCAACCTGCAGCCTCCATTTGATACATTATTTTGTGCTCGAAATATTTCTGCTCGTGACAACTTGTTCTCAAATAAATGTACGATTTAACAAAACTCGCTCGAGTTGTCAGCAATCATGCGCCCGTCGGAACCCATTCCCTGTACCATGTTTGGGATTCTCGCTCGTTTGCACTTTTTTGCCTTTTGTTGCGCCGATTTGCGCTCGTTTAGCACTTTTTTGCGCTCGTTTCGTTGAGTACTCTTCCCAAACTCGCCCCTGTGAAAGAATATGAAACTACCGAACTTGATTTCTGCTCGAATCCGAAAACATGCTCGAAAGCAATTGTGGAGGCAAAAACGCTACAACGTGTCAATTTGTGTATCGAATCGGGGGAAGGCATACTTTTTTGCTGCGATGGAGGCTCCGGGAATGCAAAACCAAACCTGCAGCCCGCAACCAACCCGTACTACCCAACTCCTGATCCTGCCAATCAGACATCTAAGGAGGTCCGTCATGCAGGCACGCAGGGCCTTGCTCGGACACCAACTGCGAATGTGAGAAACGGTTGACGTCTCGAGTCTCATCCTCTAAGCAGGACAAAGTCCGTCAGGGAGTTTCGCAAGTCATTCTGCACTTCCCGATTATCAAATTGCAACGCACACCCACCCAGAAGACGCCACCGTTAGACAGCCTTAACCACACGTCTTCCTGCCCTCAAAGGCAAAGAGCAGCATCCTCCACCAAGCTAAAACT